GTGCGTTTTTCATCGTGATTTACAATGGCTGAACGCATTTTAATCACAACCTTGTAAAGGTACTTTAGTTATTGCACGGGTAACTAGAGTATCCGCGTATATTGAGTATGACCGGTTCTAAGCTTACGAGTGTGACCGTATTTCTGTTCCTATAAACAGACGAGGTGAGTACTTGCTTTTTATGAACACTTTCGAACGTTTTCTTTTTATCCTACTTGGTCAATGAATGATACTTGGTATACTTATAATGCCAGGCATATCACAAGGGGCCTTAATCAAGAGAAAACGTATTAATATTAGATTGAAGCCGTAAAATCCTAGTTTCCAGCATCTTTGATCAGTTTTTGTGTAACACAACGCAACTCCGAAGAGAATGACACATCTTATGTATAATATATAGCTAGATCTACGAATTAGTCATGAATATTTTAAATAATTTAGCCTGCTCTGTCCAAATATGATACATCTTTGAATTTTTGAGAATACGAATGTCACTGGTGCCCCATTATTGGAGAATACGGTTGTGAAATGTCTTGGATCGGCATTTAACCGGTGTTTGGATACGACTTTTAGCGGTGACAGATGCAAAAGGTAATTCGAAATACCAGAATGTTGAGGCTCTTCAGACGCTTGCAGTAGGTCTCCAATATAAAGTGGGAAGAACTAAATAAGAGTAGATGACTTATAGTGTCAAGAGCCTATTTTTTCCAAAAGAATTCAGTTAAACGTAGACCGAAAACAATAGCCTTGGTTTTATATCAATACATTACAATGTATGGAAAGAAAAGTTTATCATGTATTTGAAAATATAAACATATTACTCTGTAACCAAATTGCTGAAACTACACATTTAACTTAAAATACAACATTTTTCAGATGGCAGCATCAGTAACACCTCTTATTGAGGAGCTTGACCATATAAATAAACAGTCATATATACATATAAATATAACATATAAATGAATATATGGTTTAAACTTCACTTAATGCCAAAACGATCACAGTGGGATAAACTTTGGAGAATTGTTGGGTATGCTGTAATCCTGTACTGGATAAATTCGTCTCATGCACCGCATACACTCGTATTCTACACCGCTCACATTCGGATAAATTCCTATCATGCACCGCATACACTCGTATTCTACACCGGTAACATTCCGATCACATCAATCAGTGGGCCGTGTTACACTCGTTTCCATGACATTTCACAAGCGTATCCTCTGGGAAAAGATAAATCCTTCTCTTGCTCACTCTACGGTGGATCATTTAAACTGAGATTTGTAGATCTTGTTCAGGTTAGCCATAAAAAGGTTTGGGATTTGTTTTTTTCTACTGTGATATTAATGATTTGGCTCTAAGGCGAGAAATCTGTACTTTCTGATTGATATTCCATTATGAACAGTTACATTGCTAAAATAGCTCATGTTTAACATTTTTTTGTTACATTACTATTAAATACAGCATAAACTATATTCAACAAACACAATTTCAAAAAGGATAATATAGAAGTTAACCTTTATTTTCCATTTTTAAGCAGCTGTGCCTCTCATGACTTTCCAAAACAGGTCATATTCGTAGCCTAAGAACCGGTCATACTCAATATACGCGGATACTCTAGTATCCCGTGTATTGGATTCCTAGTTTTTAGTTTTATTTTCCCTTTCTGAAAATGAGTGGATTTGAACAAGAGCTGTTGTAGCAGTAAGGTTAGTCACAAAAAGTTTTTAAAAGAAAAAAAAGGTTAATCACAAACATTAATAAACTTGTATTGTAAGCAGTCACAATACTGACATAATATTTATATTTTTGATTCATTGTCACATATAAAATTGGTGTCTACCTTTGACATCAAGGAGGATGTTTAAAATACATGTATATGCTTGAGCGAAAAGGGAAAGACCAAAGCATTAATACAGCAAAACATGACAAAACGGCCAAGAACACAACCAGTAATATGGAAAACCAATATACATGTACGTTTATATAATATGCAAGATTGACCGAATTATTCAACTTTCCTTCGGTCCTGTTTTTTGGACACCCTGCAGTTAGATTCAACTCCTTCAAATCCAACTAGCAAAAGTGTCATTAACATCAATCAACGAACATAATATAAAATCTTTACAATTAAAGTTCTGAGATCATTTAGACGAGTATGGATTGATTCTTTAAAATCATTCAAACATATTATTAACCCCTTCAAATATAAGAAGCAGTCAGTAATATCATTAATATCTAAAGTTGGGAGAACACTGGGAAATATAGGAGTTAACCCTGTTGTGAAAAAACATGGAATCATCGTTACGTTAACCCCTTCAGTTCCATTAAACACTGTTCCATCAGGGGGTCGTTTCCAAAAATGTCGTAGACTTACGATATCGTAACTTCAATTGTGTTTTCACGACAAGTAAAAAATTCCCGTTTCCAGAAATTTGTCGTAAACCTACGACAAACTACTATGTCGTACACCTATCGTAGAAAGACAATAGCTATCGTGTGAAACCCACGACACCCCCTTGGGGTGTCGTAAGGTTGTCGTAGAGCAATATTTGAGTTATTTGTGGGGTTTTAATTATCTCATAGATTATGTCATAATTTACGTTGGCTTATGCAACGCTGTCACTTGACAGATAGCTGAAGAAATTGCGGTTTCCACGCCCTCCAATACATAATAAGGCAAATGGCCATTTCTATGCATTGAAAATTAGAGAAACTGAAGTTCGTTAGCGGCATCATCGTTCACATGGTTTTCTCTTTCTGATTTAGGCCTATAAAGGAAACGAAAGATCATATTATTTCTCATGAAGGTTGGTTGAGTTAATTTAAAAAAGGAGCATAACAATTTTAAGATCAATATACCTCACCTGACCCAGAGACAACCTTTTTTGAGACAAAAACTGATGCCAATGTCAGGATGCCATCCCCGGGAGACCATCAGTGGATTGCTGGCACAAACGCTATGAAGGTCTCATTGCGCAGCTCTAATATTGGATTTTTGACACGCATTTTTGAATTTGTCATTACTCACATAATATGTAACCAATCTTTTTTGTACCACTAAGGATATCATTTGGGCTACTGGAGAGAAATTCAAGAATTCGAGTAATTTTATTGCGGAAGAAATATTTGTCAAAAATGTCTTATTTTTTGGAACACCCGATATACAGGGCGTATCAAAAAAACGCAACAAGTAGTTATCTCGTAAAATCACAAAACTAGTGATGACTACATCAATTTCATTTAATGTACCATAAAGCCATGTCTCTCCTCTTTGCAACGATATGTCATTCATTCACATGTGGTAATGGTTGGGTGAGAAATCCTTCGATTTGCGCAGTGGGTCAAAATCGGCTTTGCGCCAAGTTTTAGATATTGAAAAAGTCAGTACAAGGGCTAAGTGCCAATGGAAGTTCCCCTGCCTTGAATTGTTGTGACTTTTTCTTTTGGAACTATCTCAGGAGCATCTGTGCTCACAATTCCTCCACCGGATATTGCAAAACCTCGAGAAAGATTTGCCCATGGGTTGCTTTTCTTTGCTTTAACCCATACATGATTCAGGGCTGAACCATGCATGACGTGGACAGATGAGCGCATCTTTATGTGCAAGGAAGTGGTGGCAATTTTTGGGGTATAGGATGTATTCTTGCAAGAGTATGAGAATGAACACTTTACTGTCTATGCCATACCTGTCACACCTTCTTCCAATAGCCCCTATGCCCCTCGTACTGACTTTTGCAATGTTTTAAACTTGGGTCCGAGCTGAATTTTGCCCCACTTTGCAAAATTAATGTTTATTCGGCCAGAGATGACTCTCTGTAAATGAATGGTATTCCATTGCAAAGAGGAGTAATTTGGCTTTTGTTACATTGAATTAAAAAAATGCAGTCAGCATTTGTTTTATGCAAAATTATGTATGTTTTCGTCAAATATTGCATCGGGCTCCGTACACTGACTTTTGCAATGTTTATAACTTGGCCCGAAGCTAATTTTGGCCCACTTTGCAAATGGAATGATTACTCACCCAACCATGACCAAATATCAATGAATGATATATCATAATAGGAGACACATGGCTTTATGGTGCATTGAATGAAATTAATGCTGTTATCATTGGTTTTATGCTTTTCCAAGATAACAAACTGTTGCATTTTTTTGATACGCACTGTATTTGTGTTGATTGTAACATAAACTATAGAACTAGTATGTACATGTGGGCTTAATGAATATACCAAGGTCTTTCTTGGCATTTGGTTCCAGAAACTTTACGAATTGCATTGCTATAGTTCAATATTAATTTCAAAAAGGTTTCGGGAAGAAGTGAGGACGAATACTAAGCATTGGTATGAATTATCGCTTATTAAAAGATACGTGTGACCTCTAAAAGTTATAGTTTTATAAATTCACTACTTTCGAACAAAAAGTCCTTCAAAAAACACTTTTTAAAAAAAAACTTTGATAACATTGGGTAAGACAACAAAATAAGCCAAAGTGGTTTAAACTTTATATGGGACCTTTAAGTTGATTTAGTTCAATCAGAACAAGTTAAGTTAATTTGGTTCATAATTATTTCTTAGTCATAGAACTCCTGGTGTATGGTGATCATGGAACTGTACCAACGGTGTCTTCCTATTCTTGCGTTATTTGATGTAAAAATTATCAATGTTGACCGTTTACTAAAACGGGCCTATGATTTCAATTTTAAACAATCCAATAACTTTCAATACAGATAATGACCCGAGCAATTTATACACGACTACAGGACTAGAACACCATATACATTATACAACTAAAATTTCAAATGAAAATGTCACGTGACGTTCGTATCACTTATCGTGGAACTTGTCGTAAGTTGCGAATTTCTACGACAGACTTACGATTTTTATGGAAACGGATCTGTCGTAAGTCTACGACAGTCGTAAGTTTGTCGTAACTTTCACCATTCCTACGACTGTCGTGGAGTTACGATATCGCAAGTCTACGACATTTCTGGAAACGACCCCCAGGGTAACACAACTGTGTGACATTTGAGTCTTCTTGAGAAGGGACGTGGTTAATTGATACGTTTAACCTGACAAAGATTCCTGCGACTAAAATGACCACATTCATCAGCAAAACAAGACCACGCCTTAGGATCAACTGTTTCACACTTAGTCTTTTGTAATTAATTAACTTAATGTCAGGCCTTGGATCAACGCTTGCATGATGGTCAACTTTTTGGCTACTTGACATTTGACGCTCAATGGCCGTCACAGGGTCTTCAATATCTGTATCATTTTTAGAGAATGAGTACCTAGTTGCAGGTCGACCAGACAGAATAGGAGAGCCACCCTTTTTCAAATATCCATTTGTTTGCTTGCGATATCCGTTTTGGGACTTATGATATCCATTTGGTTGTGCATTTTGGTCAATGTTTGTTTCTGTAATGGGTCCGTTGTATTGTGTTGGGTAGTCCTTCTGTTTAGAGTATACGATTTGTTCAGTAGCACTTTCATTTGTTTGTTTGTGGTAAGTGCCATATCCATTAGATATCTTAACGCTTTCTCATGTCTGGTCTTTGTTGTATCTGTTTCCCAATTCCTCATGATGTAATAGACCTGAAAAGATATACTTGGTTTTGAATGATTCTTTATTCCTGCTTACATGTATGAATGTTGTCAAGTTGCCTTGTATGATGTATATTTGTAAGCTGTATATTTTAAAATGATTTGGATGGAAGAGAATTGTATAAAAAATGGCATATTGCAAATACACATTAAGGACCAATGAAGACAGTTATGAACACTATTTAATATACAAATAACATGTTTATATGTAATATAAAGTTTATCTTACTTTGTTTTTCTTCTGGCAGCTCAGGCTGTTTTTTGTTCAATTCATCATTATCCCAAATCCCTGCTCTTATCCTAGCCTAAAACAAAGTTATATATAAGGCATTAACATGAAAAATGTCATCACCTGCCATTTGTTACAAACGCCAAACTCAGAACACCAACTGCCCCACACTTTCCACAAAAAAAGTTGAAGACTATGACAATATCTCAGCACTTGTGGTAGTGATATTATATTATTCCATATCATTTTATTGTATACCATATGACATCATTTTATATTCTAATGATTGTACTGCTTCATTATTGTCTAAGATAATTATAATGAATTCACGGGACACTATATAGTCTTCCTTTTAAACTTTAGTGGTTGGATGGAGACTTGTTTCCCCATCCCGTACACTAGTAAATTTGTAAATGTTAAATATTTGATTTAGGGAGGTATTTGCAATCCAACTCTGATGATACAAGACTAGTCAGCCAAGACTAAATTATGAACGTATTTATCATTTAGACTATTGAGTTCATTAAATTATAATTCCATAGATATTACATTTGATCCTGTCAACAACTTCATGGTATTAATTGGCATGGTATGTAATCAGAGAGACGGTTTAAATAGTTGTTTAGACTAATGATAAAGTATTAGGGAAAATCTTAATTCAAAGTTTTTGTTCTCTAGCAATCCAGAGCAAACCACTCGCCGGGCAAGCATTCTTTAAAAACGTGAAGTTTTCACCATGTTGAGCAGTTTTGAAAATTGTCCAATTTGAACCATTGCCTTGTATATTTTTATAACTGTCCCCCCACCTTGACATTCGAGTGTAATGGTTTTACAAAATAGTTCATGTCAAGAAGGGGGAGGGTGAGTGTGGGGAACAATCACTGACTGTAAACTTTCAACTAATTAGTATAGTAAGTTAGGTGATAATTCAAGGGAGATGATTTTCCATAGACTTTTTTCAATTGGGCCATGGGCACAAACAAATCCAATGTTTTTGAGCATTCAAATACCGGCTTAGACAACTTTGGGTTATCTGGGTTATCTGAAGGCAAATTTTGGGTCAAGTG